TTTTATAAATGATACTCTTGTTTTTTATTTCTTCTGGAAAGTATATAGACTTTATAGCTAAGGTTTTTGGGTTTTGTTTTTTTTTTTAGAGACAGAGTCTCACTTTGTCACCCTCAGTACAGTGCTGTGACACCACAGCTCACAGCAACCTCAAATGATTCTCTTGCCTCAGTCTCCTGAGTAGCTGGGACTACGGACGCCCACCATAACACCCAGCTATTTTTTGTTGCAGTTTGGCTGGGGCCGGGTTTGAACCTGCCACCCTTGATATATGGGGCTGGCACCCTCTCCCCTAAGCCACAGGCATCTCCCTATAGCTAAGGTTTTTTAAAATACATTTTTTTACCAGTAATACAGGGAGAAAAAAAATTTATTAGTTATCTTTTATTGCTGTGTAAAAAAATGGAGTTGAATATTTAGCAACATCAAACAACCAGCATGCATTTTCTCATAGTCTCTGTGGGCCTGGAATCTGATTGTGGCTTAGCTGTTGTGATTCTGACTGAAAGTCTCCTGTGACGTTGTAGTCACCATGTTGATTATAGCTCCATCCTCATCTGAAGGCTCTATGGAAGGAAGAACCACTTAACACTCACTCCCGTGATTGTTAACAGTCCTCAGATTCTTGAAATACCAAACCAGACATTTCAGTTCCTCACAATAGGGGCCTCTCTATACCTAAAAAAAGTGTTCCAAGATATGGCAACTGTCTTCCTCCTGAGACAGTGAGGAAAGAGAGCGCTTAGTGGCGAGAAGCTGCATTACTTTTGTAACCTGATACCAGAAGTGACATGCCATAACTTTGCTGAGTGAGAAATAAGTCATTAAGTCCACCTGACAAGAGGAAAGAAATTAACCTCAAGCCCTAGAAGCATGGAATAGAGGTGTTCATCAAAAGAATGTGTGTACATATTTTTAAAACAACCCTAAGTGGCTATGGGGTGTTTGAGCCAGTTGTCAGGCTAAAAATGGTAGAAAGGGCATTTTCACTATACATTAATATTTTGAAATACATTTAAAACAAAGAAAGCAAAAACAGACATAAAAAATATTACATTCATTGGAACAAGGAAAAACTATTAGACTTGGAAAGAGTGAGGAATGGCACAGCCAGCAAAGGTCTTCTTCCTCAGGCTCAGGGAAAATGCCAATTTCCTTAAAGTAAGCAGTACAGCTTGAAGAGAAATGTGTACACGATTGTTCTTAATAAGTATAAAATCAGCCAATTGGCTGAAAAAGGCAGTGCAGAAATGGACAAATGACTGAGAGATTTCAAAACATTTAAAAAAAGAGGCACTAAGAAAAAAACCACTCTGATAAACCATATTTCTCTTTTTTTCAATTTAAGTTTTTGTTTGTTTGTTTGTTTTTGCAATTTTTGGCCAGGGCTGGGTTTGAACCCACCACCCCTGATATATGGGGCCAGCACCCTACTCCTTTGAGCCACAGGCACCACCCTCAATTTAAGTTTTTTACTGAGATTCTGACTGAAAATGATGCAGGATGAAAGAGGCAAAAGCTTCAGAAATTCATAGGTTAAAATCAAATTTCTGATTTAGACTTGGCTCTGTGAACAACTCAGATCTCCCAAATGGGAAATAGTGTTGATATACGCAAATAACATCCCCTCAAGTCAGGTATTACAGACAAGGATGTAGCTAAGAATGTTTTAAAGAAGCACTACAAATCAAAATAGACATGACGAGATAACAGAGGATGATAAGAAATATATATCAGAGCCCAAAAACAAATGGCAGAGAAAAAGAAAACCATTAAAGAGTTAAAATCATTGTTAGTAGTAATTTGATTGCAATTAGAAAGATAGGAATTTAGCTCTCCAGCTTGAAACCATAAAATGAAAAATTGATATAAAAGCCATTCCAGAGATTATAGACAAAACTTAACAAGAAAAGAAAAGAAAAAAAATTGTTATGCTTCATTAGCATGAGAATAGAACAAATGAAAAACAAATTTTTCTGAAAAACAAGGTTTTGAACCTGAAAGTTTAAAAGGCCAAATGAGTCTCAGGGGAAAAAGAAAAAAAGGTCAGCAGCATGATTGACTTCAAGATACAGCCACCAAAAATTTTAAATTGAAGGGTGGGTAAAGAAATCTGTGGGCATCCAGGAATAAAATGTCCTGTGGGCATCGAGTCATGTCAGACGAAGAAAGTCAGGCTGGCGACGGACTTCCTGGGGGTCATGGTCAGTGTTATCAGACAGCAGAAGAATATGCACAATGCTTTCCGGGAAATTCATAGTGAGGGCCTAAGTTGATACCCAGCCAAGTTATTTTTCAATTGAAAATGCAAAACAGATATTCTTAACCACATAAAATGACATGCAGCTATTCTTGGTAGAAAGTAAAAACCTTAAAAATGAAAAATCACGGTGAGATGTATCAGGCGTGTTTCATCTCATAAGAATAAGAACAAAAAATAAGAAACTCTGTGAACTATGATTAACAAGCAAAGATAATTTAGGAGGTAAGCACAGAGGCACATGAGTGGAAGTGTTAACTATTTTTTCATTTCAAAAAATTTAGATGGTACAAGTGTTTTGTTTTTTGTATTTTGGGTTCTTTTTTTTTCACATGGATAAATTTTATCATGCTGAAGTTGGGGTTGTGTGTGTGCCCATCACCATATTAGTGGACATTGTATTCAGCAGGTAATTTTTTTATTTCTCACCCACCTCCTATCCTCATCCCTTCTTCATTTCAATTTCTATTATATCACTCAACCTTTGTATAGAGAATCCACAGATCATTTCTAAATTGAAATAATTCTCTTCCGAAGAAAGGATTCTCTTGAGGTATCAATCTGACATTTCACAAACAAAAACTAACAGCGTTGTAGTTTCAGCCAACTTATAGGTATCTCTCAGTCTGTTGATAAAAGATCTGATAAAGGCAAAAATACCCTCAAAACATTGCTCCTATGAGAAATTAACCTTGTGTGTGCTGGTATCTGATAAGGACATGCATCTCAAAGCTTTCTGCTTGTCATAAAAGGCGTTTGAGTAATCATCACCAGGATATTTGTGATGATTTAGTATCTTATACCACTTGAAGTCTATCTCCATAGGAACACAATCCATCAGACTGAAGGGGATGAAATGTAAGGACACAGCTTTAAACAATGCATCGTCATAAGCAGTAGATAAAATTACTACAGGATAAAGAATTAAAAATATGGCTGGATGTACCTGAAATATACCTTCTGGATGTGGAGCTTGAAACCGAACCTCTTTAGAAATAGAGAACTTGCTGATTACACTTGCCTGAGGACTTGGAAGCCCTAAATTAACAAATGGAAATTTCGTAACTTGGCTTTTTGCAACTACTTTTTTCCCCACATTTCTGTTTGTATTGAAACATTGGCTTTGCAGCAACAGGCAGAATAACATTGTCACTTAACGGGCGAAGATGGCTGGGAATCTAACAGTCAGCAGTAAAGGATCGCTGTGTGAAGTGTGGCCAGCCATCACAGAACGCGTGGTGTTCAGGCTAGCCCCTTACTATTTATGCTGTAATTTAGCAAATCTTACCCCTCTGCTTTCCTCAGCCTGACAACCCTTTCTTTCTCTTGTTCTGTTTTAACAATTTTCAGAACATAAGATTTGGAACCTGAAAAATATGGTCGAAATCAACTACTTATTATGTGGCTAATTTCACAGAGATTTCATCTCAGGATATTAGAGTTTTCCTCTTTCAAATGGAAATAATTATATTGTTGATCTAAGAAAATTAGATAACAATAATATCCAAGTATGAAAGTACTTTATAAAATGTTAGAGAGGAAGAAGAATAGTAATATTTATAATATAAAAAGGAATCCTTTCTGATCTCTACAATTTAAAAATAATGACTATTTAAGTATTATGAATAACTATACTGCATACAATTAACATGTAATGAGTTTCATCAATACATTTTATATGTTTACATTGTATAAACATCTTCAGCTTTGAAGTCAAACACATTTGGATGCAAATTCCAAACAGGAATTTTTTTTTTATAACCTCACTGTGCAATTTCATTCTTAGAGTTTGATCAAGCTTTATGTGCTTTTACAAATGTTTGCACATTCATTATAACAACAAACACAAAATTCTGACAATAATTTAATCTAGTTAACTGTCATTCATTTATTTTCATTTTTCTTGTTGAATAAAAGTTTTGAGTGCCAGCAATATAATTGGTATAGAGAAACACATTTTGGATATTTGTATGTAATATTTTATTGTTTCTGAAGAAAATAACAACAGCAAGTTTATCTAGGCGTGAAAACAATTGTCAGTGCACACCCTTTGTATGTGTGCCACTTTTATTTGATGTAGAATTCTATGTATATATTTTTCCTTTGCTCAAATGAAGCAACATCTAACATGTTCAAAGAAAGCAAATCAATTTATACTGAACTCATTCTTCTAAAAATTGGGGGGGGCTGTACATATTTTGCAATATTTCTTTTTAAATATCAAGTTTCCTGGCACCAAAGAGTGCTTAATGAATGGGTAAAGAAGAGATTAGAAAATGCAAGAGAACCGAGATTTTCCTATCAGTAGTTTCCAAGTAGTAACACAATATTACCTTCTCACTTTTCTTTATTGTATGTTATTTTTAAAATCTTAAGAATGTTACCAACTTTTAAAATTTTTAAATAATGCCTGTGTTTGACATCATTTTCTTTGGGTCTGCTTTAGATGATGAAAACAAGATATATGTATATCAAACAATGTCGTTCAGTGTTTGAGATATTTATTTTCCATTACATATATCATACCTTACAAGTCACTCTTAGTCCATTACAAATTATATTTAGGTCTCTACAATTTACTATGATGATTTTATTTTCTGGAAATACCTTCTTTTGGAAATTTACCTTTACTTACAAAGAGAGAGAGCAATAATTTTGAGCAAAAATAGAGCAGAGCAGAAGAAAAAGTAATCTTACTATTTTGAGGGATGTTAAGGTGAACCTGTTTGTATCCTTACAGAAAGCGTGGACTATGGGCCAGTGTTTGTGCAAGAACCGGATGATATCATTTTTCCAACTGATTCTGATGAAAAGAAGGTAGCACTGAATTGTGAAGTACGCGGCAACCCGATTCCCAGTTACAGGTAGAAATTCACTAATAATAATTTTACTTAGCCTTAAAATTTTTCCATCAACGATATTCTGACATTCCCAGAGAGTATTGTAATGTCTTAAGTAATTTTTACATATTTGTCTCCTGATTTTTCCTAAGATGGCTTCGAAATGGAACAGAAATAGACTTGGAAAGTGATTATCGCTACAGTTTGATCGACGGCACCTTCATTATAAGCAACCCCAGTGAAGCAAAGGATTCTGGTCATTATCAGTGTTTGGCAACTAACAGCTTTGGAAGTGTTCTTAGCAGAGAAGCCACACTGCAGTTTGCCTGTGAGTAAAGAACACGATTTTTCTGTATATATGTATATAGTGTATTTATACAGCATGTATTTAAAATTTTAGTTAAGTAAACTTAAAATATCAAATATTAAAATGTGACAAAACCGTGATGAGGATTAGAACTGTGCAAACAATATAGTTATTTCCTGGCATATCTTGAAATCCCCTAAAATATTTGCTGTCTTCAAAATAACCCTATGTAGTAGTCTGGAAGGTTAAAAGCTATTCACAAAAGCAGATACAATTTCAGAAATCAAATACCTTTTGCTATCTGAGTCGGCCTGCTTCTTGAAATATTTACTTATCTGCTTTTATTCTTCTGCTGCGTATTATAGTCATATTATAGTCACTATTTGCTATAAATTCTTTAGAAAATAAGATAGAATATGTTCTAAAAATTCTAGTTATAATCACACAACCAAATAAATGCTTCTCAAATGCTAATATTTACGATTCTTACTACAGCTTCCAGGTGTCCCAATATATGTATTAAAAATATATACCATGTGTGTATACATACACATATGCAAATATAAACATTTTCTAAGGTACATCATATATCTGATTAACTAAATATATTAATTTCTTAAAAACTTTAGAAATTATTTTACATATAATGAGAGCTTATACCAAATTGAAAATAGGCTACCAGGTAAAACTTTTTAATACTATCCCTTATTAAGTAATCCTACTTAAATTTAAGTCCTTAAGTTTTAAGGATTATAATCCTTAATTTAATCCTTAATTTAATCCTTAAAAATTAGAAATAAGGGCCAGGCATATTTATATTAATAATTCATATATAATTACATTGACTGCATAAGTGATGGTGCAATATTTTTATGTTAAAATTACACCTTGAAGAGTGTCACAATTGGTGGTTTTTCTCTGTATAATCTTTTTCACAAATATCTTTTCGAATTAAGCCAGAATTCAGACACCCTATTAAATAAGTGTGAAATATAAAAAGAAATAATAAAAAATGGTAAAAGATACAGAACATTGAGGTAGGTTATCGAAAAAATTTAAATATCATCTTTTAAATTAGATTCATCAAAGGAGTTCAGATAGGTACATTCACATATGCCAAAATGCTAAGATAGCAGACACTACACTCTGTTATTTTAAAATATGACATCATTGCTGAAATGATGTGATTCTAACATTTAGCGGACAGTATTAAATTCACCTAGTATGAGTCTGTCCTAATTATATTCATAGGAGAAAGCACCAATTTTATTTTATTGTATAATAGATACATATCTAACTGAAGAATCAAGTTACCTATATGTTATCAAGACCATATTTATGAAATATACTAACATTGAAATCTATCCTATTAGCATCATCTTTCTTTTGCATGAAATTACATCTCCATGTGTATATATGTATAGTGCATATACACACTTTTCTTTTTTTTGTTTTTTTTGTTTTTTTTTAGAGACAGGGTCTCACTTTATCGCCCTCAGTAGAGTGCTGTGACGTCACAGCTCATGGCAACCTCTAACTCCTGGGCTTAGGCGATTCTCTTTCCTCCTCCTCCCGAGTAGTAGCTGGGACTATAGGCACCTGCCACAATGCCCGGCTATTTTTTTGTTACAGTTTGGCCAGGGCTGTGTTCGAACCTGCCACCCTCAGTATATGGGGCTGGTGCCCTTCCCAGTGAGCCACAGGTGCCGGCCAATATACACACTTTAAAAAAAAAAATTTTGCCTTTTGAATCATTAAAATCACATGACTTTTTGCAGTTTAAACTTACTTATGTACATATATAAATTTGCATGGTTGGCTAATGAGACTCCTTTAAGCAGAAATATGTTTAAAAATATTCCAGCCTTCCACAAACTGCATTTTGATTTTCTGTGTCTGCTATTCACCATCCAAGCACAGATTCAGCTACTTTTCTCTGACCATAATGTTATAGGGACTAAAATCTAAATGCTAAAAGTAAATACCAGATGATACCAAACAAGTCCTGCTGGTGGGTAGGATGACATCTTTACTAAATCAGATTAATGGAAAATATTTTTTTTAAAAAAATACGTTTTTCAAGTCTCAAGCTTATATTAATAACATATCTTCAGTGAATGGTTCCATGGAAAGCAATGTTCTGGTTTAAATACACAAATTCATTCCTTCCTCAGACCAACAATGAGTTCTTACGTTATCAAACATAAATCCATTTAACAGGTGATACCTCTAATTTAACTCTAATGAGACTTGATTTTGTTCTATGCTGATATAAATATCTATTGCATTTCTTTTATGGCATATATAATTTGATACTCAGTTTCTCTTCCAAACTATAATTATGTTGCAATCTTTTAATAATCCTTGTATGCTTTCTTCATCAACCACCATTTCATAATCAATTTATTTACATCTATATGATGTAACAAAAATAAATATTAGTAACAAAAATAAATATGTCATCTGAGTGTTCCACATTTATTCTCATTGTTCAAATTTAATTAATAAGCCACTTGGTTAATTTTCCTTATGAAAATTTAAGAGTTTAAGAAACATTTGATTTCTTTATAGATCTGGAACATTGGAGTTTATGGCAATTTTATTGTATAATCATTTGTTCTTATTCTCATATTTTCTCTGTTAATAAATTTTTTCTTATTTTTTTTTTTTATTTATTGAGTGCTGTATGGTTAGGACTTAGAAAGCTAAAATTTCTAAGTGAATTTGAGTCAAGACAAACATAATTGTGACTATTGACAAAAGCAGATGGTACCGTTGAGGGTCCCAGCATTTGCAGAAAATGGTTGAATAGTGGTAAGGTAATGAAGGACGTTACTTTCACCTAGTGATATGGCAAAAATAAAACATGTCCCCAGGGTGTTGTCAAATTCAGCTAGTATTTTAAAGTTTTGTTTCTCTTTACTTGTCACCCATCATATAACCAAATTAAAAAAAAAATAGGAAATGTATATTCATATAATTATTTCATTTTATTAATATATTTAATCCCTACCTCTTTCTAAAGGTGAAAGATACACTCAATATAAGGTAAATATCTGAATCAGTAAAGATAGCTCCAGGCAGAATACATTTCATTATAACCGGCCAAGCAAGGGTAGAGCATAAACTCTCCTATCTATCATGACTGAAAGAAATATTTCCGGGCACTCCTAGTGACAAACAAGAGAAACAAAAACATGTAAAGGACTCTGACCTCCCCGACCTCCCCCGAAGAAGAAAATCTTTTCTTACAGACTCTCACAGAATTTCTTATCTGAGGCTTGATGTAGTGACCTCAACTATACTCCCACATCCATTCAATAACAAGTTTAATTAGCCTGACAGAAAGCCAAAAATATCTTTACATGTAACTCTAATTTAATTATAAAGTTATCCACTTTATTTACTGCTGAATACGTATTTTTTCTGACTTTTGATTAGAGCAGCTAATGGATTTGAGCAGCTGTACTTTCTCATCCCCCAGACCTGCTCTTCACAGGTTTAGACGCGTCTACCCAGGAGGAACTTCCATTTGAAGTTCTCCCTAAACGAATATTTATAAATAAGGTTCAGCTTGTTAATCTTACCACTTTAGGTTAGCAGTAATAAATATATACCTTAAAAAAATAATAAAAAATAAATAAATATATACCTCACAAGAGTTCAGTAAAATTTAATGTGGTGGAGAAATCCTGTTTATGAAATAGCTTATCAGTTCAAAAAGAAAAAGAAACAAATAAATGCAAAGCTGTGGTGTCTTTGCTAGTGACTATTAATGATTATCAATAAGATAGATTTTTATAAAACCTATTTTATTCCTGAAGCTTATGTTATCACGAGGACAATTTCCTTACCTAATAAAGTGATTTCTCTTCAGTGAGAAGCAAAAATCCATTTTATAAAACTGTGTCACTCTATTAGCTTATCACCATTCTGATGAGAATTTGGAATTGATAAGGTAACACTGTTCCCAAACATCTTTCATAAATCCAAAATTCATTGCAATCTCTCCAAAGTAGGGGTTTTCAGAAATAATTCTTGCCCCTGACTCAAACGTAAAATGAATCAAGAATAAAATCTCCTCATGCTGTCTCTTGCTTCAAAAATATCTTCACATGCAATTTTTGGTAAATTGATAGCTTATATCTAAATTTGAACATACTGCTTTTGAGGACATTAAGATGATTTAGATCCAGAATGTTACATTAGTTTTCCTCAAAGCAGTTGATAAAAATAACCTCCTTAAATCTTTTTAGAGATTATATAATTTTTGTAGACTTTCTATTTAAGTCCTTTAATTTAACCTTTCATTTTCATGTAAAACTCAAAAATTACTTCTCTGGCTTTTTCACAACTTTTTCTCCTAAAGAAAAACTGACCTTAGACTTAACAGTACATTTTATTTGTGCTTAACATGTAATAAGATTATTCAAATATTAACCAATGCCACAGTGTATACAAAGCTTCATTTATTAGTCAATGAGGGTTTATTCATAATAACTTTAATAAAGCATTTAAATATTAACATGAATGAAAGAATTACAATGATATGGATGAATTTACTTATTGTAAGATTATTAAATTTGTTAAAAATTAATATCTGTAATTAATTAAAATAACAACTAACAAAATAAAACATTATTTAAATACTTGTCTAAAAGGATAGTTACCAAGGTTGTAATCAATGCAGTAACTATGAGTGTGTAATCTCTTGGCAAACTGCACTATGGAATATTTGATTAAGATTACATAAAACAATTTAAAAATTGAAAATGCATAATCTGATGCTGTTTTAAGTTTTAAGTTTTAAGAATAATCAAAGTTGAAATTTGTCATTGAAAATCCTCAAATTCTTAATTCTATGAAATAAATTATAAATATGCAAATATTTAATTTATTAAAGTTCGTCCAATTACTCTCATGACTTTTGAAAATTGTGAAAACTCTGCACTATGCGACAGAGGGCTTCCAGCAGAATGGCTCCGTTTGCCTGGCTCGGCACAGGGCACTTTTTATCCTTG